TCCTCCGCCTCCATCCTCGCCGCCCCTCTTCCTCCCCGCCCCTGCCCCCGCCCCTCTCCCTCCCCGCCGCCGCCCCCGCCCCTCTTCACGGAGCGCTGCCACCGAACCGCCGCGGACGGCGAGGAGCAGCACGGGCGTGGGGGCGAGTCGGGGACGCAGTCGTGGTCGTCGTCCACTTAAACGGAGGACTGCGGGTTGAATATCCAAAACCTCAGGGACTTTTCTGCAAAAAGTCGGCGACGTACGACCAGAAACAGTAGCTCCTTTATTATTATTATTATTATTATTATTATTATATATTATATATTATATATTATATATATATTATTATTAATTATTATTATTAATAGGGGAGATATAGAGATAGAGATACCGAACTGAATTTCGAATTCAGATACTAGAAAGTTCAGGCGAAGCGTGGCACGGAGGGCACCCCTCTCCCTCCCACCATGCCGCCGCCTCCCATCTCAGGCGAGATCCGGCGGGCGGCGATGAAGCGACCCGCCCTGCTCGCCGTCCCGGCCGTCCTCCTCCTCTCCCTCTCCTTCCTCCTCCTCAGGCCCTCCATCCCGCCCTTCCCCCTCCCCTCCGCGCGCACCACCGACCCTGACCACCACGGCCGCCGCCTGAGCGTCTACGTCGCCGACCTCCCGCGCGCGCTCAACCATGGCCTGCTCGACCTCTACTGGTCGCTGCCCTCCGCCGACGCCCGCATCCCGGCCTCCTCAGACCCGGACCACCCGCCGCCGCGCGACCACCCGCCCTACCCCGCCAGCCCCCTCATCCGGCAGTACAGCACCGAGTACTGGCTCCTGCGCTCCCTCCTCGGCCCCGCCGCCCCCGCGTCCGCGGCGGTGAGGGTCGTCGCCGACTGGAGGGAGGCCGACGTGGTGTTCGTGCCCTTCTTCGCCACGCTCTCCGCGGAGATGGAGCTCGGCTGGGGCGCCACCAAGGGCGCCTTCCGCAGGAAGGAGGGGAATGGGGACTACCGGCGCCAGAGGGAGGTCGTCGACCGCGTCACCGCCCACCCGGCCTGGCGCCGGTCCGGCGGCCGCGACCACGTCTTCGTCCTCACAGGTAATTAGGCTGGGCCGGTGGGGAATTGTGAATCCTATCCTTGTAAAGTTGTAATGCACTAATCCAGAGAGAAATTAGAAAGAATGTTTGCATATTGTGAATCAAGGTTAGCATAGCTGGTTAAGTTTCATGGTTAGCATACTGTAAATTAGGACAATGTCAGTGTGTGTGTGTATGCCTATTAGCACAATTTAGTATAGGATAGAAATACTGTAATTTTATTTGCACAATTTGGTATAGGACAGAAACTTATATTAGCACAGTTTTGTAAACGAGAGAAACATTGTACTTTTATGCAAGTGAAGTGATGCAGAATCATTTGGTGTATTGTTTTTCTTGGTGAAGATTGATTTGCCTAGCAGCTTATTTTTCTTTTGGATGCTCAGGTCATGTTAAATACTGAGGCATTCTTTGACAGACCCTATGGCAATGTGGCATGTCCGGGCGGAGATTGCTCCTGCAATTCTACTGGTGGTTGATTTTGGCGGGTGGTACAAACTCGATTCAAAATCTGCAGGCGGCAACTCTTCTCATATGATACAGCACACTCAAGTGTCATTGCTGAAAGATGTTATTGTGCCTTACACACATTTGCTACCTACCCTGCACCTATCAGAAAATATGGATCGCCCCACCCTTCTGTACTTCAAGGGAGCCAAGCACAGGCATCGGGTTCGTACTATTTATCATAAAATCAAGCTCCTGTTTTTCGCATTATATTTGGAAAGGTTTATCTGCTTTCTGGATCACATCTTGTGCTTGACTGTAGACTTGCACTTCATCATTAATTTCATAAAAGAGCATGCAAGCACGTAGATGTAGCGTTTGTCATTTACTTCTTGAGCCTGGGTTACATCGTTTTTATCTGTAATCAGCTTTGAAATTCCTGAAATTGTTTATCACCTATGTAATATCTGAAACTAGCTCTCTAAATAAAAGGAATAAGTATATGGTAAATGGTTTATTCTACTTCAAAATCTTCCAGGCCTTGTTATATGTGAGGCTAGCTTTTTCAAACATAAATGTTTGGCTCTCTTTTTGTATCTATATTTATTCCAGGAAGCATCATCTGAAGCATTGTGCCTAAAAAAACACTGAAAACCATTTTGCTTTCAACAGGACTATTTATCGCTTTATGCAGTGTACACTAGTAGAACTCCTGAGGTTCTTTGTAAAGATCAATAATGATAACAGAAACACATATTAAGCTAAGACTAGGTTGTTCCTTTGATTTGTACTCCCTCTGTCCCATAATGTAAGATGCTTTTTGACACTACACCAGTGTCAAAAAACGTCCTACATTATGGGACGGAGGGAGTATATCTGAGTGAAGTAACTAACTTCAGCCTAGCTTATACTGCTTGCAAAATAATAATTAAACCATCTATCTGATCAATCCGTTTATTTGTTTTCAGGGTGGTTTGGTGCGTGAAAAACTGTGGGAGTTGATGGTTAACGAGCCTGATGTTGTCATGGAAGAAGGTTTTCCTAATGCCACAGGACGTGAACAATCAATTAAAGGGATGCGGACATCAGAGTTTTGCTTGCACCCAGCTGGTGACACCCCAAGTTCATGTCGTCTATTTGACGCTGTTGCAAGTCTTTGCATACCAGTCATTGTCAGCGATGACATTGAGCTTCCTTTCGAAGGGATGATAGACTACACAGAATTCTCCATTTTTGTGTCAGTCGGTAACGCAATGAGGCCCAAATGGCTAACGGACTACCTAAGGAATATCTCCAAGCAGCAGAAGGATGAATTCAGAAGAAACCTGGCTGGAGTCCAGCATATCTTTGAGTACGAAAACAGTCACCAACATAGCAAGGTCTCTGCCCCAGAAGATGGTGCTGTGAACCACATATGGAAGAAGATTCATCAGAAGTTGCCGATGATTCAAGAAGCAGTCACCCGGGAGAAGCGGAAGCCTGAAGGCGCGTCCATCCCACTTCGGTGCCATTGTACCTGACCATCTCTCTTAGTCACCGATCCTCAACGAAAAGCTCAGCTGACTGCAAGTCAATTATTATTTTTCCCTGGTAGTTGCAAATATGAGCATGTAACTGTAGGCAGACACTTCTTCATCCTTTTTGCACTATTTAGGAATGATTTCCCATATTGCCCGATGAGTTGTTGTACGGGGTTTGTTTGTTCACTGAAGAAATTGTCCATTTGAAACGAATAGAGAAGGCTGGATACGGATCGATGTATATTGGTACAAATTGTTGAAAACAAATGTTTACCTAGACATGGGTGTCCTGATGCCTATTTTTTTGCTTCAAAGGGGAAAAGGGGGATGAGAAACTTCTGGTGCCAGTACAGGAGGAGCTCAAAACATTTGTTCATATATTCAATGTGCTGTGTTGCCAAACAACAGAAAGGCTACCAACATGGTGGCCAAGGGAACAGAGATATTGTCATCTACAACATCAGTTACAGGAATACACTCCACTGCAGTGGCTGCCAGCGCAACGAGAACGAGTTTACCAATCGCCTGATCCCAGCTGACTTGAATGTAACCAAGCCACGAGAAATAGGACAGCATCCTTCAACAAGAAAACAGAGAGAATACATCAGCAACGCATGCGAAATTCTGTCAAGGCAACAGGAGTGCGCCGCAAGAACCATACAGTGCAGATAGCAGGAACCCGGAAATGAACATTGCGGCGCTCCCGACCCAGCTCTTCTTGTCGTTGAATGGCAGCTTCAGCGAGCCGAACCTTCTCCCGACAATGTCAGCAAAGCCTGCAAAGCCATGATCCAAGCAGGTGCAGAAACTCAGCGAAAACGAACAGATGGTCAAGTTATATTGGGTGTTACAGAACCTGTGACCCATTTCCATCTTACCATCGCCGCCACTCATCATCGACAAGGAGATGATCCCGATAGGGGAGTCACGCCAGAAGACTAGAACAATGATCAGTAGCACGATGACATAGTACAGAGGACCTCTCAGCAATTCCCTGTCAGAAACCATAATAGATCGTATCAGGGAGGTGATTTCTCGAAGAAGAATGGACGATCCAAAGTAAATGAGGTTGCTGGTGCATTGGGATTACTCTCGTTTTCCTTCACGGGTCACCGATTTTACTAGAGCTTCGTCCGAGTAGAAGCCGAGCCCGTAGGTGAGAAGCCTCGCGCAATTGAGAAATGGGACTACCGCCGCGAAGAACCTTGCACCGGTCGAATTGCTGCAAAACAGGGCATGTCTATCTTAGGAGCTCTGTTGTGATCTGAAGACGTAAGGAAGTTGGATACAGTTGTAGGAGTACCTGAAGAGTGGCCATGAAGCCATGAAAAAGACCCCGGATAGCACATGCACAACCTTTCTGCTCAAGCTCTGCCTTCAATGGTGACAAGTACCACACGTTAGCAACCAAGCAAGGAGCCAAACGAGGCAGTTATTAATCAATTCGTGTCTGATCAATCGAAATAACTAGACCATTTTTTTACTGTACATGCTGAGATTCAGTCATTAGATTAGAGCAGTGGCAAGCTGACAGCAGGAAGCTCAATCTGGGCGACCTTTAACTGAATCAATTTCAGTAACCTCCCTAGTGATTGATGTTTTTCTAGAAGATCAGGGAGGCTCTCGTGATTGATGTTACTAGTTGAGTTCACTGTTAGTAAACAGATCACACATCGTCAGTGAGTTGCTACCACGTATTAATGGGAGGTCGGGTGAGGGAGCGGATTGCACGAGACCTGCTGGACGAGGCGGCGCTCGGTGAGCGCGTCGAAGGCGCGCACGAGGGAGTAGGCCCCGGCGGTGACGAGCAGCGTGGCGCCTCCGTCCCGCAGCAGCATGGACGCCGCCGGCGCCGAGGCCGAGGCCGCGAGCGCCCCCGCCCCGGCCGCGGCGACGAGCCACCGCCTCGGCCTCCGCCACGTCGGGGCCGTGGCGAGGTCGGGGGCGGAGATGGAGCGCGCGAGCAGCAGCGAGGTCGGGGAGGAGGGGAGCGCCGGCCGCGCCGCCGCCATGACAAGAGAAGAGAAGAGAAGAGAAATGGGCGCTGGAGGGAGACAGAGACGCGACGAGGGAGCGGGCGGGGAGGCAAGCGGATTTGTCGGGGCGCGCGCTCGGGGATGGTGATTGGATCGGAGGATATTTTTCCAACATGATTTGATCGGAGTAGAGTAGGAACAGTGGCTGGTTGGTTGGTTGGACGCGGCGGCGGACTTCCCGTCTTTTTTTTTTTTTTGAGGGAAACCGTCCCGGTGTATCTAGCGGCAAGGCGGGCGGGCGGGGCCAGATGGACCGAAGTGGACCAAAGTTCTAACCTAATAATAACCAGCTTCGTGAACCACCTAACAATGTTGTAACTAAGAGCATGGTTAGAGCATTTCCAGCGTCTATCCGCAAACCACCCACATACGATTCGAAAGCCATCAAACGCGGTACTGTATCGGTCCGCGGCGCGGTCCAGACGCAATTTCTTCCGTAAACCGTTTGGAAACTTTGCGGGAGTTTGGGCACACTAAACATCGCACTCTGACCCCTCTAGCCCATCCAAAAGGAAGGCGGGGGGCGCGGTTTTGTAGCAACCTACATTGCGTCCACGCCAAAATCGGCTAAATTTGGTGTTTTGACCCTTTTGCGAAAGTTGAGCCAGATCCGACTCCGGATTAATTTTTTTCGAGATCTGACCCTTTTCCTACCAAGAGGGGCGATGGTAGTAAGGTATAACAGTCTACTGCCAAAGCTCTTCTATGCAATACTCCACATTCTTTTTTCGTGAAGTATATTGTGGCCGAAGTACATAAATGAATCAAACCTACTGCCTTTCTATGCAACACTCCTCATTCTTTTTCCGTGACACCAGTGGATATCTTGTCTTTCATAATTGGCTCATACAAATCCTTTGCAATAATGGATGTCTTCCATCATAGGTTCCATAGAGAGTACTTGGAAGAATCAAGTTTTATCATGTCACTTTTCATAGCGTTTTTTCAAAGCTCCTAAGCAAGCTCCTAAGAAACCACACTTCTGATGCCACTCTGTTGGGAATTAGCACACACATGTGGTCTGGAACTACAACGGAAACAAAGCAACACCATCTCATATACTAATTCAAGGATTGTTGCTTAGCACGAAAGAAAACATATGCATCAAACAGATAGTGAATACTAGGTTTAGTTTGAAACTAGGACATGTCCCGGGTGCAACCATCATCCAGGTAGGACAAGTGCTAGCTAATTTCAGCAAGCAGGTAGGACAAGTCCTATGTACTCTCAACCCGGAATTTCAATAACAATCATCAACACATGGACACCAGATTTTACATAAAAAATCCTCAACTTTAGGGAAAAAACCATGGGCCAAAGCCACCGAATCCTCTTCCTCAATTATAAATGTGTGATATAACAAGTTCTTCTTTAGGTAACACTAGAGGCTCTCACACATCAAGATTTCTACATCATGAATAGTAACAACAAGATTTGGGACTGCAAGATCGAGGGATTGGAACAATCTCACCAAATATGATGAAACCGCAGCTTGA